CAATAACATTATTTAGCAAATTTATTAATGTTTAAGTTGTTTTTCGAAGACACGATTTTATGATTCGTATTTAAAATTATGAATGTTTGGTTTATTAGAAAGAAATGAATTTTACAGTTCCGCATTTAAATACATGAAAATTATTTTGTGAACACCTCAAGATGCTTGAAATTTTGGGGCGTTACAAAAGTTGTTTGAATTTTTTTTTTAAAATAAAGTATTCCAACTTGAGAACCCCTTATTTAACTTGGGAGTGGGAATCTGCTAAAATTTTCTATACAAATGTAATATTCATACCTAAAATATAGAAGTTTCCATGCAATAGGCAGCGACTTAAGTGAGGGGTCCATTGACTGACTTATGGTAGACCTCCTGACCACCCACAACCATTAGATGCTTCTAATGCTTCTACAGTTTGGGCGCATGCACTTCAATCACGCAGCGTATACCAAATACGTACATCACGGTGCAATTTGATTCATATAAGTTGACTCATATTTCTTAAAATTCATTTTTTTAAAGAGCCTTTCAAGATGCTCCCAAGCTCCTATTTGGTCATGACTCTCGAGCTGTTAACGATATGTAGTAAGGACGTGTGACTATTTAAAGCGAGACACGATTGATCGTGACAAGTGACATGCAGATGAGAATCATGCAACTATTTGGTTCAACTAAAATAGTTAAATAAAGTTTAAAATTAATTTTAAGCACATATTTTATGAGAGCTACACATTTTCATAGAATCCGCATTTCATTCATTTTTATTAAAATTTACTAAAAATTCAAATTTTATCAGAACAGGACTTAGTAAGAAAGGGATATGTTTTGAATCATTGCAAGGAAAATTACAATTATACAATTTCCTCTAGAAATTCGACCCACGTGGGATTCACACATGTGTCCACTATCACCCTTTTTCTATCTACTATCTCCTACAATCTGTCAAACTCAAAACAGAGGGAATAAAAGACATTAATTTTTCAATTGATTTGTACATACATATAGTCAACCCTTATCAATAAAATTTCCGCTAAAACTTTTCAAAGATGCTCTACGTGTGGTGTGAATAATTGTAGGAATTTGGGTTTTCATGTGACTCTGCCCTCATTTTCCTTTATTTTTCTCCTTACAGCAGAGAGAGCTAAGAAAAAAAAAAAAAAAGAGGTCTTGAGACGTATTTGATGTATATTTTTTAAGAATAAATTTTGTGAAAAATGATTTTTTATTTTATTTATTGAGAATATATGGGTAAAATATGAGCAAAAATTATGAGTTTATTGTTACTTGGTCTAGAAAATGACTTAATTCGAAAACCTTTTCGTGTTCAACGCCTTAAATGTAGGAAGAATCCATGTCGTATTTAAGAATTATGTAGCTCAAGTCTTGCAAAGAAAATGAACAAAAAATCACTTTAAAGAGAGTTCTAGGAATGATAATCAAAGTAAGGACCCGTTTGACATAACTTTTGAAAGCCAAATGAGCTTTTGAACATGTTTGACTAATTTTATGAAAGAGTTTTCGATAGTTAAAAAAGTTTTTAGAGGAAGTTGGTTTATTGTAACTTCCTCTAAAAATACTTTTAAAATAGGAAGTGCTTTTAAAAATTGGTTTTCAAATAAAAATTAAGATAATTTTATCCAAAATCCCTTCTACATGAAGCAAAAGTAAACGCAAAATTCATGCCAAATGGGCCCTATTTCTAAATTAGTAATTGACAATTTTCTTAGTTAATATTAGGTCCTAATTGAATTGTAATATGAGTTTCGGGTTTTAATCAAAATCAAAATATAAGTTATTGAGTCCTAATTAAAATCAAAAGAGTTGGAGTTGGTAGTATAATCCTTGAAGGAGTCCAAGATGTATCCGAAAATCACATGTGATCATTGAAATGCAATTAGAAGCCTTAAAAATGTCAAAAATCCACACAAGTTATGCTCTAAATTCTCAACCATAACTTGCAAGAAAACATTGGAATTTGGATAGGACTATTCTCGAAAAATTGTAGCATTTTGAATTAACTTTCCAACGCATTTTGAATCACCTCAATCGAATATCGAGAGAGAAAATTATGATAAAAATATTGACGACTGCTAATTGGCTTAGTGCTCGAGCGTCGGATCGATGTTCAAAAATATGTTTTGCTTCAAACACTTGAATAAATATATACCCTATGGGACATCAAAAAGTGTGTTGAATCAGATTTATTCCATAAAGATTAATTATTTAATGATCCAAAACATTCATTGATTCTAAAATTCAATCACCATATATTACTTGTTCTATAAATTTTTCCAAAACACGTTTTGTTGATCAAACCATATTGTTACATATAAAACTACAAGATCAAAATGCACATGATCTTTTGATCAAGTACGATATCATCTAATCACCGGAGATAAATCAATATCAGGAATCGGGATCTGTTACAGAAGCACAAATTCAAATGGACTATGGTGATGTATTAGGAGTCAGGATCTGGCATCAGGAGTACGCAGTTCAAGAGGGCTAAGGTATAAATTTCCTCAGCTTTTGACAAAACTTCCTGCACACCTCCAGTAGGATCAAGGGAGACCACATGAATTGAGGTCAGAAGTTCTACTGGGGTAAAATGGTCTGGATTGTATTGTAAGTTTGCTTCGATTTATAATGAATTAATGACGGCAAAGTGATCGAAGTTTTTATCTAGTTGATGTTTATCCATGATCATCTTTGGTGCTCTTTATTGCCTTAATTATCGATTGTGGTATTCAAATTTATAATAAATTGACTCGTTTGATCTAATCATATAGAAACAATTAAAAAATAACTTATTTTTAATTATAATGAAGTTTGACTGACTTATAATCTAAAGAAAAACCTTTGTTGAACAAGGGCTTAATGTCCTCACAATCTAGTCTAAATTTGAAAACATTATATTCTTATTTGATTCAGCTAAAAACATATTTTAAAAAATATGATAAAAGTTGATAAATGTTAAATGTATGTTTGAAAAATGAATAATGTTATCTAGTACCAGTGATGATATGACACTAGTTTAGGTGAACACACTTGATAGATTGAATTAAATAAATCATGTGACATTATATTTAAATGAATCTATTATTTAATGTCATGCAATCATCACAAGCAGCGGTGTTGGTGTTGAATATATAGCATTACACTTGAAAAATTGATAAAAAATTGTGGGATCCATAGGGTTGAAAATGACTAATTCCAGTATACTATGTGCCAAAGTGTGAAAACACCAGAATGCATGGAAATGGAAAATTGATCAATATTAACAGTTTCCATGGAGTTGAAAAATAAGTTGGGAACACAGTATGATTCCAGGTTTACGCGTCGAAACTTCCAAGAACACAATTCTCTTTATAAATACAGTCCACTGAAAACCAAGTCAGTTAAAAGGAAGAATGCTATTTATATACATGTTCGTGTTTCAACTTTTAACTTGCGATGGACGATCAGGTGGCACCAGGTTTTAGGTTCTACCCTACAGAGGAAGAACTCGTTTCTTTCTATCTGCACAATAAGATTCAAGGCACAAGACTACTTGAAATCGATAGGGTTTTACCATCTATTAATATATATGATTACAATCCATGGGATCTTCCAAGTAAATAAATTCTTTTATTGAACTCTTTCACCTTCTTGTTAATTACCCTACATATTACTAGGGTCTAGATTATTTAAATATCTTAACTACGTATGTTTTTCAAGGCTTCTTGGATTGGAAAATTCAGCATGTATGGTCCTTTCTTGATGTTGTGTAATTTACGCGTCAAAATGAGTAAATTACAAGTTGAGATTCATATTCAGGTGATGCAGAATTTTAAAACAGATTTAAGGTCAACATATAATGATAAAGAACTACGTACACGAGACAGATTTTGACACAGTCTCTTTGACTGCAAGAATTTTATGCACAGGCACACGCACTAATTGATGTGTTGGGTGGGAAAACCCCAGAATTTGCAGGAGAGCGTTGTCGTGGAGATCTAGAGCAATGGTTTTTCTTCGTTCCAAGGCAAGAAAGGGTAGCCCGTGGAGGAAGAACTAATCGGCTCACGGCACAAGGATATTGGAAAGCATGTGGATCTCCTAGTTTTGTATATTCTTCACAAGATCGTGCGATTGGTAAGAAGAGAACAATGGTTTTCTATGCAGGAAGAGTTCCACATGGAAGAAAGACTGCGTGGAAGATGAATGAGTACAAAGTGATTGGATTAGCCGAGGCTTCCTCCTTTACTGCTGCAAATCCACAGGTCATGTATTAATTCTTTTCAAAGAAGTTCTTTTTTTCCTCTGCAAAATCTTTCGTTTTTATTATCATATGTATAATAACACATGTTTCTAGGTTTATATCCTAGCTAAAGTTTCACTTTGGAAAGCTGCAAATGGAAAATAAATATAATGAAGAAACAAGAACATTTTGTTTCTTTAGTGCTTATGAAAATATTGGGATTTTTGCTAGATTATACACTTCATGTTTATCTTTAATTTTAGCCCTCAAGTGTCAACAATCCTCTTTTGTTCAAGATACCCAGATAAACTTTTACATATTTGTTAGGTGTGGAAGCTAAATAATTTGGAAATCTGAATTTTATTGATTATATTCTTTTTCTTTAGTGTCACTTGATACTTTTTTTTCTCCCTTTTTGGGTTTCTTTTATGCAGTTAGGAGAAGATCTCAGTTTGTGCCGAGTCTACAGAAAATCGAAAGGCACGAGGCCATTTGACAGAAGGCCGCGGCCACATGAAATGGTGGAAGGGAACCAACTAGTGGCGGTTCACCACCAAAATGTGGCAGTAACATCTCAACAAAACCATCCACTAGATAGAACTATCTACTTATTTGATAATTCAACCACAGAAGATCAAGCTAATGCTAATCCTTGTCAGTCAGTGGAAAGTACAAATAACAACTTCGATATGATTGTTGAAGATAATGGACCCTCGTGGGACTGGGACTGGGAACAATATAATTGTTCTGATTTTGGAAACTTGTGATATGTAATGATCTCAGATGATCCAGAGTTGGAGAAACTCTATATGAGAGAATGTTGTTAATTTATGGAGGGAACTGCACTCCTTGCTTTATGTTTAAAAGCCTTATTTTATGTTTAAATGCTTGTTCGAGGTTGCTTAAAAGTTGCTAAAAAGTTGAAGTCAAAATGAACAAATACATGAGAGTATTTTGTGGAATTTTACTTTTTGAATTTCAAACTTTTTGTAGCGGATGAGCTTTTTGTAATTTTTAACCTATCTTGTCTTTTTCTTTCAATAAATAAATTTTGCACATAAACTCAACTTTTTTTCTACTTTTTATCCGTGCATTTTTCAGGAAGTTACTTTTCTCAAAATCTATTATATAAAAAATCATGCCAAACAGGGACTTAAAATATCTCATCTATTGTACTGTAAAATATTATTCAGTATCTTACTAAACATTTTTTTAACATTTAGCAACAAAGATCCGTGTACATATTTGACAATATATATATATATATATATTTTTTTTTTTTTTTGGAAAGTGAATTTGTTAGAATGTGTGGTTAAAAAGTATAAAATATATATAATTTTAGAATGTGTTGTTGAAATTTAACGTGAAGAAAAATTAAAAAAAAATCACTTGCAAATATGAGATTTATGTTATTAGAAACATGTCCTAAAAGCTTCATGAGTCCGTGAAAAGATAATTTTATGTTGGAATTACAAAGCCAGTGACACATGCCATGACGTTTGTGAAGAGAAATTCTTTCTAAGAGACCGTCGATGGATTGACGAAATTGGCTTAGAAAAGGGTTTTTCTTGACTCACATGCGCCTCCATTATTGAAAAAAATTGAAAAACTCGAGAACATTTAAGTCAAAAGAAGTCAACTTCAAAATGACTGCCTAATTAATTTGCTCACCATACATTCAAAACTAAAACTATCTTAAACATATTGGAAAAGGGAAACTACTATTTGAATCTTTCACCAAAAAAATTGAAAAAAAGAAAAATATACCCTTTCCCCATTTTCTTTTGTTGGGCGAGACTGTTAGGTTTTTAGTGTTGGCGATTCTGTAGAGAAAAGACTATTTGTAACGTGTTGTAAAAGTCAAGGACGTAGGGTGCCATTTGTATAAATTGAGTTATGAGATCTAGGGTTCAAGCATGAAAAGAGGAGAAACACGGCGCCGCATTTTTGCTGGCCTTTCGTTTGGATGCTGCCCGAACGACAAAAACAGAATGCCCATCGCTTGATTGTCGTTGAGCTCTCGCTCGAGCGACAGTGTGACACCCACTTGTCGCTAGCTTCTCGCTCGAGCGACAGGTCGATTCGGTAAACCCTAATTTGCATTTTTAAACAGATTTTTCCTGCCCATTCAACCTAATTACCCTCTCCTATAAATATCATTGGACGAAAATTGGTTGTTGTTTTATTGTGCTTTCATTGTATAACATATTCATATATTCTTTTGAGATATCCAATAACACTTTTTATTGGAGGAATCATTCATATCATTCCTGGAATTCGGTAACCGAGTTTTGGGAAAATATCAAATTGAAGAATCCAAAACACCTACTTCCTAAACATCCTTAAGAGGATACTTTCTCAGTTGAACTTCAGAGGCTGATGGAGGTTGAGAGAGGTTGGACTGCAAGCACAGGAAAAGCACAAGAATTGGAGATTCTTGGAAGTCCTCTTGGAAGAGATAATAGAAGAAGATCAGGAACTGGAAGGAGACAGCAGATCTTGGGAGCTACAGGAGGTAGATCGAGAAATCTGGCAAGTTAGCTAGATAGCATCTACGGTAGTAGATCGTGAGTCTAGAAGGAACAGCGGATCTTGGAGATTACAAGAATTACAACATCGGGAACTAGTGGAATTTGTTAGGCTGGAAACAGACTGTAATCCTTATTGTCTATAGTGGAGGTAACTGGTTTGGTCCCAGAGTTTTTACCCAGTTGGGTTTTTTCGTCATCATATTGGTGTTATTTATTACTTTCCATAAAATAAACTGTGGAAATTCAACTTAGGATAATTGGACTGTTTGTTTAATCATCTAAAAACTAATTAAAAATGACTTGTTTCTTTTAATAGATTAATTCCGCACGTATGGTCAAAATTAAAAACGGATAATTAATAATCATTCGGTAACTTAGTAACCGTTGATTTGGTAATCCGTATTTTTCAATTGGTATCAGATCCCTAATTCGTTCCTTGACCCATTTTATCTAGATGAGTAGTTCATTATGTGCTATGCCTTATTTTGATGGCAGTAATTATGCCTATTGGAAGGTTAGGATGAGAGTTTTTTTAAAATACATGGATGAGCGTATATGGTTGAGTGTTGTGAATGGTTGGGTTGCACCTAGTTCCATGGTTAATAATGAAGTAATTCTCACTCCCATCGCTAATTGGACTAGGACTAACTTAGAAGAGTGTAATTGGAATAGCAAAACCTTACATGCCTTATTTATGGCAGTATCCTCGGAAGAGTTTAGGAGAGTGTCTATGTGTGAGGTAGCCAAAGAGGTTTAGGATATTCTACATATCACACATGAGGGAACTCAGGCTATTAAGAACTCTAAGTTACAGATGTTGACCACTAGCTTTGAGGAGATTAAAATGAGAGAAGATGAGACGTTTAATGTCTTCTATGCGAGCTTAAACGACATAGTGAATTCTAGTTTCAACTTAGGTGAGAGAATCCCGGAATCTAAGATTGTAAGAAAAATTCTTAGATCCTTACCTGAAAGGTTTAGGCCAAAAGTTACAGCTATATAGGAGAGCAAGGATATAGATTCCATTAGGGTAGAGGAGTTAGTTGGATCCTTCCATAAGCTGACATTTGATAAACCCACAAACGATAAGTCTTTAGCCTTAAACACTGTGAGGAATAGTTATAGGGAGTCCTCAGATTCTGATTCTTCTAATGATGAGGAGTTGGTTTACCTTGTTAAAAAATTCCGAAAAATGTTTAGGAAGAAAAATATTCCTCAAGAGAGACACAAAGGTGGCCCGAGTGAATCTAGGAGAAAATCTAAATCTGTGAGATGCCATAATTGTCGAGGTTTTGGCCATATTAAGAGTGAGTACCCTAGCAGTAGGAGAAATTCAGATAATGCTATGAATGTTACTCTCACTGATGACGAGTCTAACTCGAACAATCAGAATGAGAAATCCACTCGCGGGGAAAGTGGAAAGTATATTGCATTTACTACTAGAATTAGGAATGAATTTGATAAGGTGAGTGAGAAGGCCGAGAACGTAAGTAGTAGTGAGGATTGTGATGAAGAATCTATGAGTGATGAAGAAATTCAAGAGGCTTGTGATAGGAGAATAAGGAATTTGAATTGGAAAATAAGAAGTTAGTAGCACACATTAAGGAGTCTACCTCGATCCTGAGTGAAGTGAAATCCTTGAGTACGAAGAATAAGGAATTTGAATTGGAAAATAAGAAGTTAGTAGTACATATTAAGGAATCTACCTGGATCCTGAGTGAAGTGAAATCCATGAATGAAACTTTAGATTCAGGTTAAGAACCTCACCAGTGAGCTTGAGAAGTGCTATAGTAAAGTCAGCGAGTTGACCACTAAGAAAGAGATCTTAGAAATCTAGGTTAAGAACCTTCTGAGCGATCTAGAATATTCTAAGTCTCAATTGCTTGTCTTCTCTAGTGGTTCTAAAAAGGTAGATAACATTTTAGGAATGGGCAAGCCGACTGGAAATAAGGGAGGTCTAGGTTCTAAGGAAAACAGTGCTATTACTTCTAAGACCACGTTTGTCCTTGCTACTAACCAGCCTAAACATGTGTCTAACCCCGATCTTAAGGAGAAGGGATTTGTTAGACAGAGGTCTACTAGACAGCGTAGGACCCGTCGACCTAGGAATAGACATCAGCATCCACATACCTTTGGTCATAGGTTTATCCCTACATGTTTCACTGCAGTGAGTTAGGACACATAAAGTCTAGGTGTCATCATTTTATGAACAAAGATAGAAATGGAAACTTAAATAAAAATAAGAATCGGGATTCTGTTAGTCAGATTGACTTCCTTAATAATCAGGTAAGTAAATTTACCAAGTTAATGATACAGATGACCGGAAATATTCCTGTCACTAGGCAAGTTTGGGTGAAGAGAAGTTATCTGAAAAATTTTGAACTTTATCATTGTGTGTCATTTTTTTTTTTTTTTGTGCATGCATCACATTTGTTTATTTGTTTTCTAGGTAGAAATCCCATGCATTTTTCTTCTTTTTTTATTTGATTGGTATATTCATGCTTTAAAATAAAAAAAAATAAAAAAATGGAAAATTGAAAAATAAAAATGATGGAAATTTTTACTACAACATTATATATAACATTCTTAAAATTGCATGTTGTGATCATGTATGGGCACAATAACTTGTAACATAGTTTCCATTTCTTACTTCAGTTATTATGGAGTACTTAGTATATGTGTTTTCATGTACCATCTGCACTGCACACACTATGCTTTTATTTGTGGGACTCTACCGCGTGTGTGAGATTTGGGATGACAGTCATATGTTAGTAAGGTGACTTTGAACATGAATTGACCTTATTTATTAGACCTAAACTCAAATTTATCCCCGGTAATAAAAGATCAATATCTTATGTTTTTGTTTGAAGCCTATTTGACTTGAGCAATTAAGAATGCGGGGTTTCTTATAACCTGGTGTATATGGTCAATTGACTTGGGTTAACCGACCCAAAGCTCGTTAAATGAGTCATTTTAGTCGCTTCATGGAGAAGAGCCTGCACTTAAAATGTGAAAAATAATTATAAGCTTAAAAATACTGAAAAATATGAAAAGTATATATGCAAAAAATCAGGGGGAGAAAAAAAATATAAAATGAGCTTTTCTTTAAAAATCTTAATGTGTTTTCAATGGTTTGACTTTCATAAGTAGATGAATATACTTATTGGCTGCGATGTTTAGCATGTCATTTCTCACAAAATTAAGGTTTGGAGTCCTGCTTACAAATGATTGGTATACTTTACACACATAGGTCACTTATACAATTTACTCCATGTTAACTTGAACTGAATATGTGGGAAGATTTACTCTAAATTGATTATACTTATGTATGCTAACGACTGCATTTTTGAATGATTATATGTTAATGTTAAAAGTTTTTTTTATTCTTTCATCATTTGTGACAAAAAGGGGGAGAGTAAAGTAGTACACAAAATTGAAAAATTGAAATTGAATGCATTAATATTGGAAAGGTCGTTGGGGAGAGACATAGATACATTTTGCATACTGCATAAAAACATTGGGAACTTGTAGTAAGGGGGAGAGTGCATTGCATCTGTATTGCATATCATATGCATAGCTGTTTGAGTTTTGATGTTTTGTGATTTTAATGTTTCGATTAGTGTTTTGATTGACATTAATGTCACGTCTCAAACTAGCATGCTTATTTGTGTTCATGAGTTTTTGATTTCCTGTATCACGTGCTTTTACATTGAGTATTGAGTTGTGGATTTCAGAAAACGTGTTTAACAAGGAATGCAAAAAAATCAGTTGGATGAAACTTGGATAGTTTAGTTTTTAGTTTAGTTTCCTTGACTTATTGTTTAGTTTTGTCACATAATGCCAAAGGGGGAGTTTGTTAAATTTTTAGTGTTGGCGATTCTGTAGACAAAAAGACTATTTGTAACATGTTGTAAAAGTCAAGGACTTAGGGTACAATTTGTATAAATTGGGTTATGATGTTTAGGGTTCGAGCATGAAAAGAGGAGAAACACAGCGCATTTTCGCTGGCCTATCATCGGATGCTGCTTGAGCGACAAAAACAGAATGCCCGTCGCTTGACTGTCGATGAGCTCTTGCTCGAGCGACAATGTGATGCTAGCTTCTCGCTCTAGCGACAGGTCGATCCGGTAAACCCTAATTTGCATTTTTAAATAGATTTTTCAAACCCATTCAACCTAATTACCCTCTGGACGAAAATTGATGGTTGCTTTATTGTGCTTTCATTGTATGACATATTCATATCTTCTTTTGAGAGATCCAAGAACACTTTTCATTGGAGGAATCATTCATATCATTCTTGGAATCCGGCAACCGAGTTTTGGGAAAACATCAAATTGAAGAATCCAAAACACCTGCTTCCTAAACATCCTTAGGAAGATACTTTTTCAGTTGAACTTCAGAGGCTACTAGAGGTTGAGAGAGGTTGGACTGCAAGCGCAGGCAAAGTACAAGAATTGTAGATTCTTGGAAGTCCACTTGGAAGAGACAATAGAAGAAGACCAGGAAGCGGAATGAGATAACAGATCTTGGGAGCTACATGAGGTAGATCGGGAAATCTGGCAGATTGTCTAGATAGCATCTACGGTAGTAGATCGTGAGTCTGGAAAGAACATCGGATCTTGGAGATTACAGGAATTACAACAGCGGGAACTAGTGGAATTTGAAAGGCTTGGTCTCGGAGTTTTTACCCAGTTGGGTTTCTCTGTCATCATATTGGTATTATTTATTGCTTTCCATAATACAAACTGTGAAAATTCAACTTAGAATAATTGGAATGTTTGTTTAATCATCTAGAAACTAATTAAAAGTGACCTGTTGCTTTTAATAGATTAATTTCACACGTATGGTCAAAATTAAAAAGGGATAATTAATAACCATTCGGTAACTTAGTAACCGTTAATTTGGTAATCCGTATTTTTCAGAGACCATAAAACCCTAACCCTAAACTCTATGTTCAGCATCCATTGTTCATGAGGAAGAAGTGGCTTTCAAGGTTGTTTACTGATTCCAATAAAAAAAATCGATGGTGATGACTTCAAGATTGATGACAGAGCACACCAATTACACTGCTTTAAAGTTGGGAAAGGGATATCAATGAACTTAGGGAAGGATTTTGGAATTATGCAGTGACAAGTAGGTTTTGGGGGTGGGATTGAAGGTGAATGATCAACAAATAGCTCAGTCTTACCATTCTACCCATGCACTATGGACAAAACAAGTAGGCACTACACGTACAAATATCTTGCTGAAAAATACTTTGAGAGATTTAAGGTGGGTCCAGAGTGGAAAGACAGAACCTACACAACTGAGTTTAAGCCTAAGCATGCGCTAAATTACACCGTTCAATGACCACGAGGACAGTACAATACCATAACGCCCCTTCATCTCTGTATTACTCTAAATTCAAAAAAGAAAAAAAAATAATATGATAATTTCTTCTTTTTCTTTTTTCTGGTCAAAAAAGATAGAGAAAACAATAAAATAAAAATAAAAAATCAATTTCATAATAGGAGATTGGCATGTAGAGAAAAAGGGACAAACTTCCATTGCTTTTTAGCTTTTTAGAACACATTCTAAAGAAATTCCAAGAAAAAATTCTCCCAAATGCTAAGACTTAAAAGAGAACACGAATTTCATGTTCAGACAAGTCACTATATCAAAGAAGCATATCAAGAAATAAATCTTACATCAATTAAATATAAAAATATTAATTAATTTGAACTACTTCTCGTAACAATGTTGATATGTGTTGAGATAAACCCAAAGTCTACAATTTCAAGAATATATTTAGGCCCGATTTGTTTCGCATTAAAATCAAATTTTAATCTAAATCACAATCAAACAATTAATATTGACTACATTTTTTAAGTGTCCCACAACTTTTCAATCGCACATTTCAAAAACTTCTATCACAATCTACTAAAAATCTAATTTTAATTTCCACCAAACATCCACTTAGTACTTGTTTGGTAAGTCTATTTTTTGCTGAAAAACTTGTTAAACTTCATTTTAATCCACATATCTCATTTCACCCACAACTTCTATCCACTTTTTAACTACACAATTCATGGGATCCATCAACTTTACTTGCTAAAATTTACATCAAACAGCCTCTTAAAGTTCTTTAGGTATCTATGTACCTTATTTCACTTGCCAAGGAAGCACATCTTGACTTCATCTTTCTGCTAAACTCCCATATTTTTCCAACAAAATTTGTCTTGTTAGTTGAAAACTTTGCTTTGCTAATAATTTCGAAACCTTTTCACGTTAGAAACCTTATCAGGTAGGTCGGATAGAAGAAATGTGCGCAGTCCAAGTCTTTCTCTTCAATAAAAAATGACCCAACATACAAATGTTTGAAGACCGTTGTTGGAAATATAAACATAATTGAAATATACCTAAGTACAATTATATCCCGCAGAGTTAGGGAAGTGATTGGGAGGATTCATCGCGGGTGACGTTGAATATTAGAAAAAGCTAGTCGACTTGATGAAATACAAAAAATATTAAAATTTCTATATGAAATTTGAAGACCGTTGTTGGAAATATAAACATAATTGAAATATACCTAAGTACAATTATATCCCGCAGAGTTAGGGAAGTGATTGGGAGGATTCATCGCGGGTGACGTTGAATATTAGAAAAAGCTAGTCGACTTGATGAAATACAAAAAATATTAAAATTTCTATATGAAATTTGGTGAACTTGCTAGTTATATGTTGCGTATATTTAATTTTGGCATAGGATTGGATTTCCCATGACCTTTTTTTTTTAAAAAAAAAATTTTTTTTTTTCATCTTTTGCGGTCGGTGGATTGACCAATTCTAACAGCGTTCATGGTGTTGAAAAATTAAATGGGAACACGCGCAATTTATTTCCTTCACTACATACGCGCCGGTTGAAATTTCCAGGAACACCAATCATCACTCCATATTTTCTCCCACATCTCAATCAGCTCCTTAACCTCAATCAAAATTCTCTCTTTATATATACAGAAAGGTAAAAATAAGTTTAACTCGTCCACTGAAAAACAAGTACTGAGTTAAGAACAAGAAGAGAGGTGCAACGAGCAATGAATGATCAGGTGGCACCAGGTTTTAGGTTCTACCCAACAGAGGAAGAACTCGTTTCATTCTATCTGCGTAATAAGCTTCAAGGCACAAGAGTAGAGGATATCAACAGGGTTATACCAGCTCTTCATATTTGTGATTACAATCCATGGGATCTTCCAGGTAAAATATTTATATTGTTTCAATTCTTGTTTTTATCCATTATTTTTCCTTTTTCTACCAAATGTTAATTAATTAATACTGCATGATCTTTACGCATGAACTTCTTCTTCTTTTCCTTTCTTGAGTTTCACCAGTTTAAACTAAAATTTAAGCTTTGCCTATGTCTGTTTAGTTTTTAAGGCTACAGCCAAAATCAAGATCATCCAAATTGTTCTACACTTCTAAGATATACATGTTTAGAATTTAGGCTTGTTTTGTTCTCTTGTAATTCAAAATGAGTAAATTACAAGTTGAGATTCATATTCAGTTGAGGCGGAACCACACAGCAAATTGGGTCGTTTGGATCATGTGAACTTCTTTTACTTCAGGAATTCTATATAATATACTAATGTTTGTTTAGGGAAAAACCCAGAATTTGCAGGAGAGCGTTGTCGTGGAGATCTAGAGCAATGGTTTTTCTTCGTTCCAAGGCAAGAAAGGGTAGCCCGTGGAGGAAGACCTAACCGGCTCACGGCACAAGGATACTGGAAAGCAACTGGCTCTCCTAGTTTTATATATTCTTCACAAGATCGTGTAATTGGTAAGAAGAGAACAATGGTTTTCTATGCAGGAAGAACTCCACATGGAAGAAAGACTGTGTGGAAGATGAATGAGTATAAAGTGATTGAATTTTCTGAAGTTTCCTCTTCAACTACTGGAAATCCACAGGTCTAATTAGAAATATTGTATTCCTTAATGATGCAAAAGCTGTAATTTTAGTATCAATGGAATAAAGGGTACTAAAGCATTTGTGGAACCATTTTATTGTGAGAATCTTAAAATTGTCAAAAAGGAATGAAAAATGGCCTAAACCCTAAAAATTAACTAGATCATGTTTCATGTTTATCTTTGTGAAATCTGTCTTTTGTTCAAGACATTGGTATAAACTTTAATTTAGTGCTTCTTCTCCTCTAAGCCTACGCCCTCAAATCGTTCTAATAGTAATAATATGCATTAAAACGGATATACGATTCTGATATTTTCGTAGTGGCGCTAATTTGTTATCTTTTCTCTGGTTTCCAATTTCATGCAGTTACGGGAAGAGCTCAGCTTATGCCGAGTCTACAGAAAAACAAAAGGCATGAGGGCGTTTGACAGAAGGCCACCGCCACCAGATGAAGTTGTTGAAGGCCACCAATCAGTGGCGGCACACCACCAAAATGTGGAAGCAACATCTCAACAAAACCATCCAGTAGCAGATAAAACTAATTACTTATTTGATAATTCATCATCTGAAGATCATCATATTCCTAATAACATCTTGGATATGGCTGTTGAAGACAATGAACCTAGCTCTTGGGACTGGGAATGGTTTGATTTTACAAAATTTTGAACAGTCATGGGTTGTGAAAAGCAAAGACGATACTGGATAATTCCGATACCAATTTATTGAAGAAATTACGAGATTATAAACACAATATGAAATAAAGATCACTTATAGAGAATGAAAATTTTATTATCATATGGAGAAAGAATATACAGATTTGTATTTTCAATATTTCTAACTTTTTCTAAACTATAATGAAAAGCCAACTATATATAGGGAACAAAAAAGGGACGTTCAAATCCTAATAGTAGAGTTGAAGTAAAATGCAAGAAATTGAATCCAAATGAAACAAGAGAAAAAAATAGCATTGCAGCGTCGTAGCGCCAATCTCCGGGTGCGGTGGGTCGGCGCTAGGGCGTTGGCTCCCTGTTTCTCTTTTACGCTGGTGGTGCCTAAGCGTTGCAACCTCGCGCCCAAGCTCCCCGTCTCCGTCTCAAATACCTTCCAAAGTTATTTTTCTTCATTCCAAAGTTCTTCAAGTTCAACATAAATTTCAACGCTTAATTGGACTTCCAAATAGAACTTCAACTAGAATTCGCAAAGTAAATTTGAATAGAATTATACAATAACATTCCAAATAGAATTCTTCTTAATAAGCATTTTAATTAAAACTCTCAATTATCTTAATAAAGAATTCGAGTCACATCGAAATTTTAACACATGTTTTGCAGTAGTACTATATATACATTGATCCTTAGAAGAATATTATGATTTTTGCAAGAAATTTTTTGTTTAGGATCAAGAATGTTTAATTTTAACAATTAGGAGGTTAATCTTAGCAAGAGATTCTGGCTGGTTGCATCTTGAGAGCCCACTATGTTCGATGTAGAATTTTAGTAAATAAAATTGATAGAACTGTTGTAACATAAAAGTTTAAACCTTTCAGGACTAAAGTTCATTTTAATTTTTCAGTTTTATCTTTATTTTAGTTTTCAGTTTTGATTTAAATTTTCAGATTTAATCAGTGTTCTAAAAAGTGTAATGTGTGGCGAGATGTGAAGGTCAAGTTTCGGGCTAGCGAGCCTAGGCGAGGATTAGGTGTAAAAAAGTGTTTCCTTATTTTAATATTATTTTAAATCTTTAATCAATCTAAACATCATTTAATAAGCATACAAATTATAATACTAAATGCGTTTTTAAGAGCTTAACAAAANAAGCATACAAATTATAATACTAAATGCGTTTTTAAGAGCTTAACAAAAATAAATATATTTTTGAACTATAAACAAGATATAATATAATAGTGCTAATTGAAGGAAGAATGATTAATTAATTTAATAAAATATAAATAGCCATTTATTCGATGGTACGATACAATAAAGTTAAACCAAAGGTACAATACACTACAATCAAATTAAAAGAATTTTTATTCCATATCGAAAGTTCACAACAAAATCTTTGAGCATGTCATCTATAAATTAGAGTGTAAGTTATATTTGAATGATTTGATTTGATTTTAATGAATGTGATGGTTGAATTTTTCACTAGAAAAGGAAGAGAATATTTCATTTGAGACTACTAATAATAATACTCTCTCTACATTTCATATTATATTCTTATAATTTTGGCAACTCAGTGTAATGCTTGTTTATTCTCTCCTTGTGGTTGTGCCCGCAAAAGCAAAATCAGCTATGAGTTATAAGAATTTTATCTTGAAATCGTGCAGTGTTGAAAGTATTCGCACGAAAGAAAGTCACACAACTTTAAGACAGCGAATTTTGCAAATCTATTAGACCTACATTTCTTAACTCTTAATTTTCTATTTTATTTGTTATTAACTCGTGATATTTGTTGGTGATCGAGCTCGAGAAAAGTAGCCTCGAACCCACACTTGGAGGTTAAAACACATATCCTACAATAAATAATAAGAAGTCAAAAATTAAGCTAGATCAATCAAGCTCCAACATCATAGATCGACATTGGAAAAGCACCCCGCCAGTTACATCATCACCTCATGGGCTCATACTCAACTAATCGCACGTGGACACGTGTCACCTATGAGATTAGCACCTCGTTTGTATTATTCAGGAAGTTGGTCATCAATGCTTGAGTGGGGTTACGACTTTAGAGGGATGATGGTTTGACATGCTGACCTAATAGGCCAATAAAAAAATGGGTTTTGCTATTCATCGAGGGCCACATGAGCTCTGGACGAACAATGGGGCATGTGACGCCTCTTTATTGGCTGGGCGTCTCGTAGACGAGACGTCCAGCGCGCCCCCATAGTCACAAGGCCAACTCTAGCAAAACCTATAAAAAAACCTCCCTTTAGGGTGGCAACACACATCTCAAGGTTGACATTGTTGCTTGACGAGATACAATGTGGCCAAGTTACAATCAAATGCCACCATAACCACATGTAATTTACTTCTATGCGAAATCCAAAAATAAAAGTTGAAAAGCCATTTTTCACTATTCTAGTAAGAGAGGTCACTCTAGCAAAA